AGTTGTACTCTGACACAAATGGGGTTACATGAGTTGGAATCAACTTGATGGCAACTGGTTTTTTTTGGGTCTTGTACTTGCTTGTTTATATCAATAGATAGAATTGCCACAGAATCTAGAAGGTGTTTGGTACATTTATGCTGATTGTAATATTGCTGTGGGTGGTTCCATGGCTGGATTTATGGAAGACCCTTGGGTGGTGCAAATGGTTAAGGGCTCCACTAGTATCGAAAAGGTTGGTAGTTTAAATCCACCTAGAAGCGCCTTGGAAAACAGGCCGGGCAATCTGCTTCCAAAAGGTCACAGCCATGAAAACCTTATGGAGCAGTTCTACTCTGCACGCAAAGGGGTCTCCATGAGTCAGAATAGACTCCATGGCAACTAATAATAACAACAAAGGGAGCAGATGAGTTTGACATGCAGGGATATCTAGTGTGAAGTTACATACCTGCTCCTATACATTTCACTTTACATTAGTTCCACCTCCATCCTTCCGAGATTAATCGGTCCAGTTTGCACACATTTTCAAAGAGGGTAAATTATTCCTGAGGGTTGGAATGTTGGGAAGTGCTGTTTGGCCTACTACAGGATTTGTCTGTGTGGATATGTCTTTATCAAGGGAAATATGTTGAATTCATTTTGACAGAGTTTTAAAGTACTTTTTTTCTTTCCTTAAGAGTCACTTTCCACTACTCGAAAGATAAAGTGTTTTGAAGTTTTCCTGTTAATTCTCATATTATTTTTGTAATAAAAATACAAGGAAGGAGAAGCTTCCTGTTAAATCGTAGGAAAATTATCAATAAAGAAGGCAAGTGCTAGCTGGTATTCACACAGAGTCTGTTTTAAATTACAACCAATTTTCTTGACACTTACTCTAGGGCATATAATTAAATTCGGATCCTGATGGAAGTTATGAGGTCCCCATGTAACATTGGTCTTAGAATTCTCAAGTGAATTAAAAGAGTATACAGACTATCAAAAAAGAAAAACAAAAACAAAAAATAAACTACAGTGCAGACTGTTGGCTTGTATTTGCACACCACAGTTATTTAACAAGTCATTCTTGTTGAATATTTAATTCTTTTCATGTTTTAGGAAATATAAACAAAACAGCAGTTGACATCAATTTTGTTAATATTTATTTCTTGAGGATAACATCCATTACCTGTTGCCATTGAGTCAATTACAACTCATATTACTCAAACAGAATACAACATTTTAAGCTTTTTGGTATAGTTTGCTAAAATGCCTTGTGTAGAGTTGTTCCCATTTATACTCTGACGAGTTGTGCATCGACATGAACTTCCTTCTTTAGAAGTCACAAACTAAGAGGTGTGGTAGGAGCATCTAGTGGGTTGAGAGTAGGGTTGGTAAACCTACTCTACCAAGTAGTGACCCAGCTGTTTCGGGCTCATCCTGTACTACTCTTTCCCTTACTCTTCTTCAGCCATTCGCCTATTCCGGGAACATACCAGACAGTTTCTTGCCCCAGGGCC